TCTCGATTCCCGTCTGGACCATAGTGGTCACTCACGCGTGCAACGTGTTCGGTTACTTCACCGTTGTCAATCAACTACCAACGTACATGAAGTACATCTTAAATTTCAACATCAAAGAGGTAGCTCGAGCACTTTACCCGATTCTTTTCGATCGACTTGATCGTGTCTCTTGCTCCTTCGCAGAACGGAATGCTGTCGTCTTTGCCGTACCTTGGTAAATACATATTCGCCGTCGCGACATCTTCCGTGGCCGACTACCTGTTCAAAACGAACAGACTGTCAATAACGACTATCCGTAAGATTTTCACTACCTTCGGTACGTGTGAATTACTGAATTCTGCCTGTAACGTGTAGCTCCTACCAAACGACATCCTATCGCTGTTTTATTTCACTTCTGTTCGCAGCTGTGTTGAGTCCGGGGCTGTTGATGATCGTACAAGCGAATTACGGATGCGACCGTGTTACGTCCGTGTCGATCTTCACGATCGCTTTGACGATCAACGGCGCGGTGACGGCTGGATACCTCGGGAATGGCTTGGACATCGCGCCAAACTTTTCAGGCACCATTTTCGGCATGATGAACACGCTCGGTTCCCTAGGCGGATTCCTCAGCAGCTACATGGTCGGCAGCATAACCTACAAGAATCAAACCTACGCTCGATGGAGCAGAGTCTTCTGGACACTGGCATCCACTTATTGCTTCGGCGCAATCACGTTCGCCATTTTTGGTAGCGGTCAGTTGCAAACGTGGAACAACCCCGAGCAGAGGCAAGAGGACGAACGGACCAAGATGGCGGACGTCGCCGATCACCCGGAAGAGTTCCTCCCGCTGAAAGACAAGACTGTCCCTTGATCACATAGCCGAGAACATCGAAACAAATACAATTACAATTTTAGTCGATCTGTACGACAGCGAAATATGTTTTCACAAACGAAATCTTAGAAAACTACATAGAAATGTTCTCCCTGTATTTTTTGAAATACACCATATCGATAGAATGTATATGCAGATACATCTCACGTGCCTCTACGTGTCTTCCTTTAACCATTTCCACGTAGCATCGTACGAGTGATAAGAAAAACAATTTTACGTCAATTCGATTGGTTAGTTTCTTTTGAAACTTTCAGCAGCGACAAAATATGTACGTGGATATATCTCACATATGTTTTTCCTTATCTTCCTTTTCCACGTGATTATAACATAATAAATTGCATGAGTATGTACAACATAGGTACAACATAGTAATCGTGTTAGTTTAATTTATATTTTTACATGGTCGCAAAGTGCAAACCAAATATACAACTACTTACCTGTAACGTTCCATAATCCACTGATTACAGTTTACGCATATTACTTGCCCAATGTTAGTGGCTCGACAGTGACTCAATTTTTACTTCATATTTCTAAAAACATATTATTTTATTATTCGAAATTTGTCTTACAACTTGAATTTTTATTACACTTATAATTGCGAAATAATACAAGAACATATGTATGTGTATGCATACTAAACTTTGTGCTGTGCATGTGTTAATTCATACCTCAATTTTTTAATAAAGTTCGTCAATGTATGTATCTGACCCAATCGACTGCACGACTATTTTAACATTCTGTGGCAATTCGTAACTTCAATGCTGAAATTCGTCAAATAAATTTGATACTTTATAGACCACAACTTGCAAAATCATAACAAAACGATACCTTTCCAAAGTTGTAAACATAACATGTACACTTTTGTCAGAAATTATTTAAACACCGTTTACCAACCAACTCTTCGATCTACTGAACCGAATTTCCAAATCTTTATACAAGCATTTTACGAATCAAATGAAATATAAGAACAAAGTTTGAAGACAATTTAAAAGAAGTAATTACAAAGGTTAATAAATTAATTCAATTAATTAGTTGCTTTGACCGATTCGTAAACATGTAGCGACATCTATTTAGTCTATAAAAAGTTACCATGGAAATACAATAAATTATTGGTTACCATGTTACAAACAAATTGCCGAGAATATATATAATAGTAAATAAGAAATTAATAAATAGTCGTCAGTTTTAATCCATCCATTAAATTTTGTATCATGTAAATGTTAAAATAAATTATATAATTTTTCTTTGTAGTACAGTGACTTTATTTATTATCGATTATCGTTCCTACAAACACTGAAATGCTAGCGCCGCATCGTGGCAAAACGGTGATACTACAATCTACAGCTGTCCTTGTCGCACACTATCGCGCTCCTTATCTAACTAAAAGCACCGACCACATATATGAATAGCCAAGCAAATGAATAGCCAAATACACAGGATTTCGTGGCCCGCGACCTGAAATACCGACATAGTAAAAAATCACTTCTTTTTCAGCGCACTGTACTTTAAACAACGGCGAGTTGGGGAACTAGCGAATGCGCCAGCAATATGATTTTTAAGATTAATTACAGCGTTGTCGAACAATCAATACCAAAATGTAAAGCTCGCCTGTGACTATACCAAGTAAAATGATACAAAAAGGTTACATTGTATCTCCAGATTCCAAAGCACAAGATCAGTATCTAAAATTATTCCATTTTTTATTATGTGTTTATGTGTGTGTCAGAAGGAGACCTATTCGCGTTTTACACAAAAATGCGAAATTGCTTCGCATATATTATAGCAATAACCACATCATTCTATAGAATGTGCTATATTGAATTTATAGATACTAACTATCTTATGATTACCTAAAGCTATACGCATCCCACGATGCTCCTGCGAGATCCCTCGTCGTCCCACGGTGCCCCGCTGGGGGGTCTAATATT